TTGCGTATGTGTATGTGTGTGTATGTGCGTATGAATGCGTGTGTGTGTGCGTGCGTGTGAGTGTGTGTGTGTGTGTATGTGTGTGTGTGTATATGTGTGTGACGACATCAAATCGGCTCCAGAAATACGGAAGCCATACAACTGAAACTTTGGAAACGTAGCGTAAAGTCGCAAACCTGAAAACACCTTTTGTATTTATGATCTCGGGTTCTAATTCAAGTAGTTCTTCAACTTATGTACAGTGGATGAACTCAAAACATTGGGGCTCAGATTCGCCAGGTGTCAAATTGAAGTTGCTAGAGGTAAGAAAAGTATGAATCAACTAAACCAGTAGCTGTTTTCTTTTATCCAACTGCGCAGAATATATGGATGGCAAGCAGTCAGCTTTCCAAACTCTGTGTTTCCCGAGCTGTCAGCAGCTGTTTTCACATTACTGTTTGTGAATGTAAAGTAGTTTATGTCATAAACTCCTAATTTTTGCGTGTAGTTTGCGCGATAATGAGAAACAAATGTCACAAGACAGGATTTTAAGCCTTCATATGTTACGGCCTCGTCTTTCAGCGCAGCCTGAGATTTTATCTTTAGAGCGAATGGAGTGTTTCATTGTAATACTGATACTTTTCATATTATGGGTAAATATCAGTTGCGGTGCGCATCAGCCTTGCCTGTGTTTTGCACAATTTTGTGCTGCAGTAAAATGGCTTGGACTCGCACACATCATCATATCCCCAGAAAAGTTCAGTTTTCTAGTTGAGCTGGCTCCCAAAATTGCTTTTCTCCCAAAACGATCCGACATGCTCGTACGCGTAATACAGACGTACGTGACTGGCCATTTTACGTTTACGAAGTCGCGCATAGGCAGTAAATATTCTCCTGAAACCAGAGGACCCGACTCAGCTTAGTTCCGGGTTTGACGTTTTGTCAGCTATTGTGAAATCGCAATTTTCAGGTGTTTGGGTACTCACGTGACTTGCGCATGCGTTCAAACTGAATTTGAAATCATCAAGTTCAGTTGCATTGAATTTCCTTGTGGAGTTACAGCTTTTCATCTTTTTTGGCCCCAGAAACCCATTTACCGCCTGTGAATTTACATAAATTTTTTAGAAGTCCGTTGAGACTCAGAAGTACGTGTATGATGATTTTAATAATTGAATATCGCTCATGGGGTGGGGACATGCTTCAAAAATTTCAGCTTTTTAACTTCACCGATTACTGAATTAAAAATTGGTGGAAAAAATGCGAGCAAACACACCGGCTACCTCTCGTCAATATGCTTTTTTGCATTTGCATAAATGCAAAAACACACTCAAAAGAAAAAAAAAAACATTATAGTAATGTGAAGTAAATTCCTGTGTGCTTTGTGCATCTGAACGTGTGACCTTGCAGCAGTTGGTTGCAAATCCCGGCCGGTTCCTTGCTTCGCTGTGCTATTTATTTTGTTTCAGATTCTGATGCTGTTAAGCCATTTCGAACCGACCCAGTGCTATAGCGTCCATCATAATCTGACACAACGGCTTTCATCATCAAGTGGCTTGCATGATTGGGTATCGTTTGTGCCAGGTCAGCTTCTACTGCCAGGTACTGCGGAACATGTACCAGATATCCGAAATCCATGCATTTTTGCATTTCATAAACCTCGTAGGATCGGTTTTTAATGAGTTTCCTTCGCATTTTTTGAAAATTGTAATGTTGCTGGATGTTTTTGAAATTACTGCCTTTTTACAGCAGCCGAAGTATTCAATTTGAGGAATATCCTCGACCAGTATGTAAATAGACTTGTCAGATTAAATACTGTTACTGTGTTTCAAATTTGATTTCTGTAAAGCATTTTTGGCTTTGTTTCCTACTCTTTTAGAATTGCTTTCGTGTTGGTTGCATTTGCATCCACTTTTCCAAGGTTTAGAGCGATAGACAGCGTTTTTTTTATCGACTTGGTGATTCAGTGTTCAATTGGCTTTATTGCATCAGCCGGGACATGCGGATGATATTATCTGTACCTCGCGAGACACATCTGCTAACACCAGTTTCCCGCACTCGCTGATTTGTTTCGATGGAAATTTGATGCTGGTAGCCTACGTTTCTCTGCACTTTTTTTCTCCAAACAGTGTTTGTGTAAACGGCTATTGCAGCCCTGCTGTCTGCTGATTGCTGTTCGTAACAGGGCTTCAACTGAGCATTGGCTGGTGCATTTTTTCGGTTGCCTCAAGTCGCGCAGCGCATGAAAATGGACTAGTAGATGTGTCTTCTGAGTTACTTTGATTACCGTGTAGAACTCTGCTTAATACTGCTCAGATTTGTCTTGTTTGGCTGAACGTTAAGGTTGTATCCTGTAAAAGAACTTCAAATTTGATTCCATTTTGGACTAAACTGGGGAACAAGTTCCACACAGGCAAAAGAAACAACAGAGATGATAGACTAGCCACGGTGGCAGAGAAAAACAAAGTTTTTTTGCAGTGCCTGGCTGCGGGAAGCTGTGAGTTAAACTTGCATCAAATGTAAATTGTGTTGCTGTGATGCTTCCACACTGATGCGTGCCATCTCTTCAAAGACCGTCTTAATGGTCACTTACCTTCTCGTGAGTAATAGTCACTTCAATCTAGTGGTCACTTGCTTTTCCACGTACGTGTGCCTCATAAAAATTGCAAATTTTTTGGCGGAAAAGCGATGTCGGAAACCATACAAGGCGGAAAGCTGAAATTTTAAGAGGATGTTCCCTGTCAAATTTCAAATCCAGCTCCCAGGCGGGCGTAATTCTTGAATGCGAGTACGTGAAAGTTTTGACGAGAAAACTGCTAACTCGAAAGCCAGAAAAGGTGGAAGGGTGAAATTTTGAGGGGATGTTTCCCGGCAGTGCACAGCTTAAAGTTTTCAAATTCGAACCTCAGGTACGCCTGGTTCTCACGTACGGACACATAAGGGTTTTGGTGGGAAAATTGCCCACTGAACAGCTAGATCATTTTTATGCGTTTTTTGCAGCAATGCAATGCGAAAAACGCATACTGACGAGAGGTTGTCTGTG